TTTTTGTTATTTTTTCCAGGAGACTTTATCTGTTTACGTATTGCTAGGTTTTACAGCTCTGTTAGTGTGTGGCTCAGTTAATGTCTTAATGATTGTGTGTTTGAAGTGTTGTGTGATTAAAAAAAAAAAGAAAATCACTGCAGATGTAGAAAACACATGCATTTTGCACATTAAAAGAAAGTTAGCCTTTATCTGATTTACATTTTCTCAGATAAGAAGGAAAATAACAAACAGCTTTAGAGGTTTACAAAATATGGGACATTCAAACAGATTTGTAGGATTTAGCAAAAAGAAAACTGTTGTTAATCCAGTCAGATAACATCTTGACTCTGACTGTACAGCACCTTGAAATTCTCATGCACTTAGACTTAGACACTTAGTTTGTTCCTTTGGAGGTCCCCTTGTGAACATGCATTGAAATTCTGCTGTTTTATTTTAATAGGATTGGAAATGTTAAGCTCAGAATTGTATTAATTGGCTGCGATTGTGACATAGTGGCAATGAAATATGCGTAACTGGTGTTTTTTGGGGGAGTCTTAGTATAAAAAAGTCCCACAGGCTTTAGGAGTACGGAGCCTTATAGTCAACTGATATCTACAGCTGGTTTTTCACCTGATATTCATTTAGAGAAATAAATGCTGTGATGGATCCCTTTAATAATGCCCACAAAGTTGTCAACCTTCCCCTCAGACTTTCCATGTTCCTACAGTATACCAGAACAATATACTGTATATGTATACATTTGATGCTATATACAGTACTATATATACTGTATTGTACAGTATAATCTTAATATGTAATCTTGTGTAAAGTTATTCTTTACACAAAGGCTTGTGGGAGTAGGGAACAAACTACCTAGCCATATAGCTGAAGCTTATCCCCTGGCTTTTATCAAGAAATATGTGGATCAGATTCTTCTGTTAATCAGCTAGATGAGCTGAAAGGCTGGCTCTCGTTTGTAGGATTTCTTCTGTTTTTAGGCTTCACAGGCTCAGTGGGGCTGGGCCTGTTCAGTGCAGGGATGTGAGACATGTAAGATAAACAAGGTTCCTATGTTGCTGGTCTTGCGAGTGTCGGTGGAGAGGTGTTGTACGTACTGTTCACAAATCACCCTATTCTCTGAGGTTCTCTTAAGCATGCACTGTGTTAAAAGACTTCTTCAGCTGCGGGCCAAAAATAGAAGAATCGTACTGCAGTTCATCTGGCCTGCCCTCCAGTCTCAAAACTCATCTCTGCAGCTGGGAGGGTTGTTTAGCAGCTCAAGCCATAGTATGAGAGTGCAGCCACTCTGCTGAGTATTGAGCATGAGGTGGCCACACCTTTGGAGAAGAGGCACCTCTCATTTGATATGCTGTAGATGTAATGCCTGCGGATTAGTGCACTTAATATAAAACACATATAAACTTCACAAACAATATATATTGTTGCAAAACATCTTGTGCTGCCAACTGGCTGCAGCGGGTGAGTGCTGATGAACCTTCTTACTGAAAAGCCTAACTGGGCAATGAAAAAATACTCCCTTGTAAGTAAAAGCGTTTGTACAGTTAGCTGCCTGTAGTCTGAGCTGTATATACAGTAACTGCCAAAGAGCAACACTTGATATTCTTCTGAGGCAACTGCTCGAGGTCCCCTGTGTGTAAAGCAAGAGCGAAGTTAACCAGCTGGACTGAACCCCAGTTGAATTGAATGAAACCTGATAAGAGAAATGTTGCTTCTTTTCCAGGTTTCAAGAAAAATCTATAAAAGGAATAAAATAGTGCCATTGTCTGAACACTTCTAGTATTCTCTTAACACCTTGTGTCATCTTTCTTTTAACCTTGATTTGTAACTCCACCAGACAGGGAGAACAGGAGCCCCCACCAAATGCTTTTGTCTTTATTATTTTTCCAGATACTGCCTTGTAAATTACTGCCCTGTACCCTCGAAATGCCTGGCTTGGGGCATGCTGGTCATAAACAATATCAGTTTGTCAGTGCGTCGTTCATGATATATGTTAGAATGAGGTGTCCATTTGTCTGCCTCTCTCACGCACGTCCCCTCTCAGTGGAACTAATCACTGTGTTACAGCTGGTTAGGTTAATTGCGGTTTTACCAGCATGTGGAAAAGCTTAACATGTAGCTTACTTTCTGAAAATGTTTGGAACGCTACTAAAAAATCCTGTCAGTGTAATGCAGAAAAAAAGCATAGTATGAGTATTGTGTTAAATGAAGAGCACTGGGGGGCTGAGAAAGGCTTCTGCCTTCCACCTGTGAACTGCTGTGTCTTGACAAGCCAAACTCTTTGGGGATCTTTTAGTTTCCCAGACAAATTGATTTGTTCACAGTTCAGAGGAGCGAGTGAGCTCATGGCCTAAGCTTACTTTGTAATCTTCGGGCTGCCAATAGCCAGACTAGAGTCGGAAACTGCGTGTGGACTCCAGGGTTTCTTCCAGAGACTCCCTCTCTGAGCTTGGACTCTGGCAGCTCGAAATGCCCTGTTTGGATTATTTTTAATCTCCACTGCTGTTAAACACTTCCAGGATGTATCATCCGTGTGACAAATGAGCGCACGTTAGAATAAGGAGACAGGTGACCTGAGGGCTGAAATATTTGCCTTTGTTTAAGTGGAAGGCTTCAGAAGCTTAGTAGGCGTTTTAGCACGTCAAGTTTTTAAACTTAATCACCTGAGGGTGTCATAAAACACAGGATCATTAAAGAACATGTTCTGCACAATTTCCAGGATTGCAGGCAGTTTCTTCACCTTGTTTACGTGCTTAAGTACTTTTCCTTTAGTTGTAATCTAATCATATGTTAATGACACAAATTTGAGCATAACAATAATATCCCCTGTTAGTTTCAGGAAAGTTTCAGGAAAAATATCTTTGTATAGAGAGTGAAATGTAGTTTTGCAATTTTTTACAATCTTGAGCCATTTTCAGTGACGTTCCTACGGGTGTTTTTTTTCCTTCTACCTTTCAGCATGGAATTAATCTTTCCTCGCTCCTATGCAGTATATTTGGTAACTTCTAAAAGAAATCTGCCCATTCGAAGTTGTCTTTTGATCGCTTCCTCACTTTCCATCACATTCCCTAAACAATTTGATTTGAGATGTCAAAACGAAGTACATTCTCAAGTTGAACACAATGTCATCTTTTGTTTTGTTTCTGTTTCTGAGGTCTGAAAAGATCTCCTAAAACAGTCGTGGCTTTCTGAAGTTCAGAAAGTACCCATATAGACATGTTCTTTTGTTTACTGTATGATGTGCGTTTGACATGCCTGGAGGGTGCAGAACGTGCTGAAGTTAAATGATACCCTGGTTAACTTTAAAAAAGCCAAGTTAATTAGAGGGACAAGACCTGGCAAGACCTATGGACAAGGATTGAAATGAGACAAATCTGCACAGTGGCATCAAAGGTCAGGCGAACAGCTGGCGTGGAAGTCAAGCAACAGTGTTGAAAATGGAGTTCATCGTCACCCTCGTGTGTGGGTTAGAGTTGAAATGAGGGTTTTGTACAGATCTACTGAAATTCACCCACTGTTTGAAATGCAGAGCTGCAATGCACTTAAAATTGATCCTCTAAATATATTTGCAAGCTTACTTAGCTTAGTTTAAGATTACTTGTCTAACTTGCATGCCAGATCCCAAACCATTCAGAATGCCTTAAAATACGCCTTGTTCAAATGTTCTTGCTGATGTTTTAATGCTGTAGACGCTATTCCAAAGCAGGGGCCATTGAGCTCACTTGCCTTATTTGGTTTCCTGTAGCCTAAGAACCCAGGAATCCCAACAAGCTGTCTCTTAAAGTATCCCACAGAGTCCACTTCGACAGCATAGCAGGGACTCAGTTCACACTTCCCACCACATTTCCTGTGGTTCTGTCGTTGTTGCTCGTCAAACCATCCCCCTGTTTGTTTCATTTTTTTTTTTCAAAAGATCTGGGCCTGCTATGCCTGGAAAAAATCATTTTGACCTGCGGAAGGTGGACAGGCAGCCTTGCAGTGCAAGAGGCATTGAAAAGCCTGTCGCATTCATTTTTAACAGTGTTTTGGTGTCAGTTCCACACTGTCTCCCTCCTCCCCCCTGTCCCGGCTCCAGCATCTCGTTCGGAAGAGCTCAGTCAAAAGCATGAAGTTTTTGGATGGTGTCTGACGATCAGGCAGTATCTGGGATGCTTCACCCAACCACATGAGAGATTAAATTCGTCCTCTGGACAACATGTTGCCATCACAGGCGTTTTCGGGGGCCCTGGCAAGGAAGGCTAGCATTGCTCTGGGAGTACGAAGACCTTCAGAAACTCAAGAAAACAAACTAGCTGCCCATTTCCTTGCCGAGACTGATTCATGTGTTTTCTTTTTTTTTCAGCTCAGTTTTGGCACACAGGGTGGGCCTGGCTGATTGACATGAGCGAGATTCGGTAGAGGAATGGCTCATTTTGGTTGATCTCTTGGAAGGGAGTGCTTGGTATCCCCATTCTCAAGAGCCAGAGGTTTAATTTACAGTGCTCTCTCATGTGGCGACTTTGGCTGAGCTACAGCCAGTTCATGAATGCGATGAAGCACCGCAGACACAGGCTGTGCTGCTGATTGAGGCTGTCACTGCCGCTGAAATGTGATGGCTTCACTTGCGTGGCGAACTGAAACCCTGGCCAGACCGAACTGCTTGGGATGGATTCACATCACGCTGCAGGTTGCCAGATTTGAACAGCTTGGAATTAAAGAGGGATACTCAGACAGATGAAAATGATAGCATGCTATTCAAAAAGGTGGAAAATGTAAGATTAATCTAGCTTTTTTATGCTTGCCGTGTAGAAGCACTTCAAACGAATGGATGTGTGTTCTTAACAGAGACAGATTTTTTAAGAAGGTTGACGACAGTTGTATGGCATTTCATTAATTCCACTTCAGGTGTACGTTTTTATTAATCTTCTTATTTATTTGGTGCGAATATGGAATGCTGTTGTTATTTGGAACCGCCGCACAGATGTCTGAACATGTTTTTCCTTCCACTTGTTCTCTCCCAGATTCCGACCTCCTCTGACCATGACGGTGCACCAGAGCTCCACACAGCAGTTTGCCATCAAACCCAAGTACTACCAGACTCACAAGGTCCAGACTGGAGCCCAGCCGCCCGAGAGGGCGATCCCCCTGACCATGGCTCACAGTGCGCTTCACGGTCAGTTCTCTGTGCTTTCTGCTGTGGTTTTCCTGCTGCTGTCCAGTCCAGAATTCCACTGGCCTTGGAGCTCTGACAAAGGGGTGACGTCAGAAATCTCCTCATGGTGGGCTGGTCGTTGGAGGGACGGTCAGAAAGGCCTCTATTACTTTTAAAAAGGCTCGCTGGCTGTCAGTGAGTGACTGATTTGTTGGTGAGGGGTTAAATTCCACATTCCACCATGGATCCTTGGTTCAAGCCATGGATGGGGTTGGGTGTATAAAGGGCTTTCATGGTGCTAGTAGTGGTTGGGTTTCTAGAAGCAGTTTCAGGAGATGGAGTCTCCTCCAGGGCTTCTTTGTTGTGTAAGACATACTGGATCAGCTCTGCGATAAAGGCTCCCTCAGCCCACCATCCCTTGTGAGTCCTTCAAACAGGAGCCTCCTATTTTAAGGGAGGGGTCTATCAGACCCGCCAAAGTACCAGGCGAGTTCACTTGCTCTTTATCTTATGATATCAGCAGCCCATGTTCAAGTGCCTCTAACAAAAAAACAGGCATCCTTCAGTCTCCCATCCCAAACCAGGCCCAGCAGCTCAGGGTTTCAAACCCTTCGCCATTATCTAGCAAGCCGCAAAACATGAGCTTATGTCAGCATTAGCTACAAGGAAGTAGAAATTATTTATTATTTTTAGGTTTAAATTTAGTTTCCCTGTTTATGCTTCTGTGGATAGTGGCTTCCCTTAAGTAAGTTACTCATGTTTCTGTGTTGGATGGTGATCTCTCAGCTCATTTTTTTTTAGCCCTACACGACCTCTAGATTTCAGTGCAGCTACTCCCATCGTCGGTAAAAAAGAACACGATCGATTTTCTCATTCACAAATGTAAGCAGTTTTAATTAGAAAAATGTCTCAGAGCAAGAAAACAAATGGAATTATTCTTACTTAAAGTAGGTGTGAGCTACAGAATTTTTTTTTCCCTGAAATGAAAATATTTATAGATTTATCTATCAGGCTTGTGTCCTGTTGTCATCCAGCACTTTGTGTATTAAACAGGAGCGCATGGTCTTTTTTTCGTGTCCTCAGTTGCCTCATTACAGAAAAAAATAGGCTGTTATTTTCATGAAGTGATCCCATAATTTGGTGGTACAACAATTAGGTTTTCCTTTTGGAGAGAGATGATTAGGCACCTCGTACATCTGCTGTGATGTTGAGGATTGTGGAACGACCTGTTTGTGGTTGAACGGCAATTGAATTTTAAATTACAGCCCTGGCGGTGGGGGCATAAAGACTTAAACACCGTTTGCTGCAGTTTGTTGTGTAAAATGAATTATTTGATTGGTTTTCAGAGAGCAATTTTAGATAAAAGCTAGGGGAGAAAAAATTAAATTAGAGGGAAAAGCAATGAACAGCATCATTGAAAGAACACCCTCAATTGCCAAAAGACAACTGTATAATAGAAGAAATATGACAAGAAGAAGAAATTAGTTTTGCAGCTTTTACATAGTCTCTGAAAGGTAAGGGAAAAAGAATTACATTGACATTTCATTTATTATTATAGTAGGATAATTGGCAGAGGATTTAAAGGTTTGAATTGGTAGGTTTAGTCAAAGATTAGAGGGATTAGATGCAAAATACAGGGTTAGTAAAAATACCTTTACAACTTTGACATAAGGACTCAGGGTCACTGTGTTCCCCCCCAAATTAAGCGTTGATGTGCACGCTAGTAAAAATGACAATTTACTTTGTCTGCATGCCGGTTAGTTCCCTCACTACAACTGGAGAGCCCATTGTCCGGGTTATAAAATGAATCACTTCAATTAAATACACAATAGTTTGTGCTGCCCATTCCACATTAAGTATAGTTTGCACCTAAGTGGGGTTTTCTGCTGCTTAATTAATGGCATTATAGACACAACAGCTAGCCTGTAGCCCTGTCATTGCTCCTATTTCCCTATGGGACCTCATTGTTGCTCTCCCAGCCTGCTATTTTGAAACCAGTTCAGAACCTGCTATCAAATCCTTAGCCTCACGGTTACTGAAGACACTCAGTCTCTGTAAAGGCAGCCAGTGAAAACGGATAAAGGATATGTCCTTACGGCTGAGCGAGAGAACTTTGTAGGTGGTCTCTGTCCATCAGGAATTGTCTCTCTGCTGCCCCAGAGTTTGAGAGGCTCTTTAACTGAAACACATATCCCTCCTACAGGTTGAAATAGTTTTAAATACACTTTGCATTTTTCTCTTGAAGACTTTCATAGAACATACCAAGGCTATTCATAGACTAAAGTGTCTCCACAATTCTCCGGTACTCTAGTTTATTTTTGTGTTTAATTGTAATATTCCTTGTTATGAACCTGAGTTTGGAATCAGTCAGATATTGGCACCATGGTGGCTGTCCTTATGCACAAGCTCCTTTTTTACCATGCCGTGTTGAACATGTGCCGTTCAAAGGCCACTGGAAGATCTGCCTGATGGTTTGATGCCACTGTTGGTATAAAAGTGGAGTCAGTGTTGCCGGTTTTCCCTCTGGCCTCCTGTGCTCATTGCCCTGAGGGACTATCGGCCCTCCAGCCGACACCTGGGTAGCAGCCGAGCACTGCCCACTCTTTCAGTCTCGTTGAGAAAGTATCCTTTCAGCACTGGTGCACCGCGGTTCGCCTCAGGAGGGGAGAGTCATGCCGGCAGGGTCACCAGGGAGCAGGTGGGAAGAAAATATTTTTTCCTCTGAGCTCAGACTCCATCTTGATTGACATCCGTGTGTTTGCAGTCTTACACTACAGCTCCCTTCCACACGTGTTGCAGAATGTGCTTCTGGCGAAAAACAAAAAATGACCCTCTCTGAGACGTGAAGGAATAAGAGACCATTTTCCCAAACAGAGGCCAGCCCGGCCTGGCTTTTCCAAACAGGGTAGCTCAGGATGACTGATGTCGGCGCACCCACAGTCCTGATATGCGGGGACCACTGGGCCTGCTGTCTGGAGTGAGGAATGACAGCAGCACGAGGAAAACCCAGGGCACAGAATAAAGCCCACAAGAAAACAGCAAGGTCAGAGTGTATAAACAGCAAGCATGTAGTTGTGAGAGGGCTGGTTTTCAAATGCAGTGGAGGGGTGATTTTCCTGTCTGTAATTAGCTGAATAACCCGCAGACCTGCCTCTTTCTAAATTTGCTGGAATATAATAAGAGAAACATGGTACTTATTGGCAAAAGATGTTAAAATCTCCCACAGAGAACAAGAGCCAGGGTGAAGCCTGGTACTGTACCTTTATCAACTCTTAGGTATGTTGTTGGCTGTTTATTTGAGTTTTTAAAGGAGTGTCTTTTTTCCATATAAAATCAGGGTTAAGCAACCATAGGACTGTTGGTGGGTGCTTAAGATGGGAAAGAGTTTTGATTTCCTGTTAGTGTTCCTTGTTCCTGGTGTTACGGAAGACCAAAGTGGAGTTCTGGCACGGTTCGCCTTGTTATCTGTCTGCGCTGACATTTGTGATCTAGAGTGGACGCTCCGGAACATCTGACCCTGATTTCCAGAGCTGCAGAGTCACGTGGAGCCAGATCCGCTGTGAGCCCTCCCAAGGAGTCAGAACACAGAGTCGGAGAGGAATTACCTGTTGATTTTGACAGAAAGCAAACTCACATGCGAATGAATGAAGAAGTGTGAGGGCGGTGTCCCCTGCAGAGCAGCATGGGGTCCGATCTCACTGTGTCTACACTGCCGTTTCTGAACACGATGAAATGCTATCAGTGCTCTTGCTCTTGATCAGCAGAGTCATGTAAATACGCCTCTCAGGTTAAGCAGGACCTTGACTTATGTACAACAGGTGGGAGGCACAGTGGTGAGCATTGCTACACTACCTTACAGCAGTAGGGTCCTGGGTTCACGTCTGAACCTGGGGTGCTGTCTCTGTGGAGTTTGGAGTTTGAAGGTGCCTGCTTTCGGATTAGATGTAAAACCGAGGATCTGGCTCTCCATGGTCATTAAAAATAACAGAGCGTTTCTTTTACAGAGTAAGGGTATAACCCTGGCATCCTGGCCAGTTTTCCCCATGGCCTCTAATAATCATGGCCTCTTAATAATTCCCACCTGTGAATGGGCTTGATCAGTCTGCTCTCCTCCCCACTGATAGCTGATGTGTGGTCAGCGTACTGGCGCACTTTGGCTGCCAGGCGGATGGAGAGGAGTCCCTCTTGCCTGCAGAGCACTGTGTGTGGAGTGTCCAGAAAATGCTCTATAAGTATAAGGAATTACGGTTATTGTTTGAATGTCCTCCCTGTGTTTGCGTTGGTTTCTTCTAGATGCTCTGGCTTCCTCCAGCAGTCCTATGATATACTGGTGGTGTAGGTTATTTGGCTTCTGAGAAAAACTGGCCCATGGCGTGAGTGTGTCTGTCTGCCCTGCACTGTGATGGGCTGGGGTGCTGTCCAAGGTTGTTGATCTTCACAATTTTAGACTTTCCTCCATGAGGCTTTGTGTGAGCCAGATTTATGATTCTGTCTTTTTTTCACACAGTTGTCCACAGTTAAGAAGTCATATTGAAACTCAAAATCAAAATCTCTTCAAAACGCTGATGGTGTTTTGGTTGTCAGGGTTAAAAATATTTTAAATGTAAGAAAGCCTTGATCTTTCTTGATGCTCCCACAAGGTGTTGTAGTCTTACAGTGTAAGCAGTAAAAGGAATGTAATCACAATTTGTAAAACACTGTATTAGTTTCAGGTGTCAGTTATTAACTCTGTTGGTAGAGTCTTTTTCATATTTCCTTAAAAGTAGACTTGAAATAAAAAACGTGTGTTTAATGAAGGAATGGCTCACTTAAAAATAATAAATTTAGTAACCCCCCCCCATAAACATCTGTCGACCTCCCTTAACATTTTACAGACCTTGAAATTACTTCTTCTGCAATTGTTGAGACCTACAAAATTCCGACTGCGAGGCTTTTGTTAATGAAACACTGCTTCAGACTTTTTGCACCTTGATGAAACAGTTGTACCCCCTTGAAAGTGCTCCAGGCAGACACAAAAGCTCCACTTTACCAGCCTTGCCTACTTTTTTAATGAATTGTTGGCAGCACTCCCTCCCGTTTCTCCGCTGTCTGGTGCAAACAGCTGACAGCCGCAGACGAAACATATGACTCGGGAATCTTGGGGCTGAGGAGGGGGTTTCCAGGAGGCTGTGAGGAGAGCGTGGTGGGCCAGGGCGGGCAGTGGGAGCCGGGGGGGGGCGGTGGAGAGCAGGAGGAGGAAGGGGCAGTCGACCCGCAGCTCAGTCACCGAAGAGAGAGGGCAAAACTAAGGGGCAGAAATGAATGGAAGAAAAGGCTGCAGAGTGCATCTCGGCTGTCCGGGCGCTGGAGTCCTGAGACAGATGTTCCTGAGGGGGCTTTGAGGAGGCTGCTCAGGGATCGAGGAGTTCATTCAGGCCGGGATGGGGGCAGGTTGAGGTGGGGAGGCTTAGGTGATGACTGCAGCGCCGAGCAGTGACTTCAGGACTGCAAGTGCGGCGGGGAGGACACTGCAGGAGGGTGTCTTCCAGCCTCCTGTAGGTGCAGCCCCCGGCCTGCGTTCCTGACATGTGCCCGCTGGGAGCACAACGCAGGTGGGCTGGGAGACTCGAGAGGTGCCGTGCCCCTGGCGGTGCTCCTTCGTCAGAATAAAGTGTGGCATTGTGATTTCCTCATCCAGCTCTAGTGACTTGACTTTTCGCTGCGGAGTTGGAGCGCATCCCAGAGTTTTGTTTGCTGAGCTTTTTTTCCCTACTCATGTTTCAGAGACGCCACTGGATTTAGGAGAGTGGGAGAGAGAGAGGGAAAGAGAGCAAGCGGGAGGGAGGGAGGGAGAAAGCACATGAGAGAAGGAGAGAGACAGCCTTCTTGACGGAGCTCCTGTCTAGCGGCTGCCGCTGTCTGGAAGGGGGGGATCAATGGATACAAAACTGACGTGTGTGTTCTTCCTTTCCTGGGCGACCTGGCTCGTAGTGGGGAATCACACCGGCCGCATCAAGGTGGTCTTCACCCCCACCATCTGCAAGATGACCTGCAGCGGGGGAAAGTGCCACAACAGCTGTGAGAAGGGAAACACCACCACCATCATCAGCGAGAACGGCCACGCTGCGGACACCCTCACTGCACCCAACTTCAGAGTCGGTAGGTACCCGTGCCTCTGAACCCCTGAACCCCGCACTCTGAGCATCACAGTGGCTGAAGGCAGCAGAACATTCCCCTCTATGTCCTCTAGAACTGGACTTGTCTTCAGTGAGGTCATTTGGTCTTGCAGTGCGTCCCTTGCGATTTCCTTCTGCATCAATAGAAGTCTCTGTTTTTATCACATAATCAAAGAAGGAAAACATCATTAAAAGGCTGTTCCTTGGGATTTAAAGACTGTTTCATTCTTGTCTTGTCCCTTTGGTTTTCTGTCAGATTTAAGTCAATTCTCGATTTATTAGCTCTGAAATCTCTGTAGTCTGTCTCTGAAGTCTTGCTGTCTGCTGGTAACAAGAATGTCAACTTTGGGAGCCCTGTATCATCAGCCAGCACCATGCTTTTTTTATAAACCCAGTTGTTGTGGTTCAACAAGCCCTTGCCACACCCCCATCAAAGATTCCTCCACCTGCTTTGGATCTTTTAAGAAGCATCACACCACTTCCTGTGCAATTACTTTCTCCATATGTTAATACATTCTTTAGAGATGCTGTTGAAAGAACCCAGCCAACCTGTATTCTACCAAAACCCCCATATTTGTCTGGACACCAGTACTGGAAGCCCAAATGCTGTTGAGAGTGTAGTTAGTTCCTGCATCTGAACTAACTGGTGCTGCAATGCTAAGCTGTCATCTTGGATTGTCTAAATGTAATCTGTGTTTCCTAAGGGACGTAGCACCTCGAGTATCTGCTGTCTGCTGTCCGAAGCTGACCATACAGCACACTCTGTGCCTCATATTGCTGTCAAACCCTGTATTCTTGGTTGAGCTCGGTCCTTGTAGATCGGTTTTTATTTTCAGCTCCTCTTGTGTCTGTGCAACCTTGGTGTTGTCCTCATCATATCTGCTTAGTTCAAGAACTGCTTAGAGTAGTGGTTCCCAATGCTGATCCTGGTGACTCGCACACCTGTTGGTGTTCTGTTTCAGTCGAGCCCCCAGTTACACAATCAAAGCCTTCATTGACTTATAAAACGATTAATATGAACTGTTTTTCCCCAGCTCTCAAACAGGTGGAGCTTTAGCCGATGTGTTTTGTAAGTGAAATAAAATCCCAAACTTGTGACTGGAAACAAAATGCAAATATTCCAATGAAGCAACAGCTTAAATCAATTAAGGCTACAATTATCTAATGAAGGTGCAATGGAATGAAAATCAGCAGGTGTGTGGGTGGACCAGAAGCTACCTGGACCAGGACTGGGAACCACAGGTTTGCATGTGGTTTGCAGTTCATATGAAGCAGTGAGAGATTAGCACTGATTCAAAGGCATTTATAGAAGGACCGATCCAGTGCAACCTTTTGGGTTTCATTTTAGGAGGCTGTGATTCGATATTCATGTGAACTATGGTATTTTCCTTCATCTTTACTTTAAAGAAAAGAGAAAACAGGAGTGTAAGAAAATGTAAAACATAAAGTCTGATGACTCTGATAATGGCTTTGCTTGGTTTTAGGGTGCAAAACTACAGAATGTGGCTTGTTTGTCCTCGAATGGCCAATGGCTGTCTTTTGGTTAATCAACATTTTGTGGAGACGAATATGTTGGAAGGTAGTCTGAAATTATTGTTTTGTGTAGCTGCCCAAAAAAACAACATTTCATGTTTTATTTTAGCCTCATATATTACAACTTCACTGTATTCTCCCTTCCTTGATGTAAGTCTAATACAAGATCCCTATGGTCTTTTTTCTGTGCCTAGTGGAGAAATGGCTTTTCGTAGTCCTCGCCACAGAGCTTTCTGACTTTTATTTTATCCGAGTCTGAAATAAATGGTTTGGTTATTTTTAATTGGTCTGTGTCCCGGGTATTTAGCAACTGATGATTTAGAGAGACCAGTGCCCCAACTGAAACAAAAAAGGCCTTATAAAAGCAGCTGGATTGTGGGTTTTTTGAGATTGATATAACCAGGCACAGTTTAAATCCTACCACTCGTCCCCCCAGACACAAACCCATCCAACAAATGCATGTTCTTGTTTTTTAATTCTCATAAAAAGTTAAACCAGTTAGCAAACAGCAATGTAACAGTGGGAATATCAGTCTTGACCTCTCACAGGCAGACCCACTGTCCCCCTGTCTCTGGCACTGCACAACTCAAGCTGTTGGACAAGACAATAAGACCGTGTTGTTATACTGTAAGTATGGAGCAGCAGTGCAGAAGGATTGTTCTTTGTTTATTGCTGTTTAACTACCTTGAAAATCTCATTCTCTGGCACTGTGTCAGCTTAGGTTACCTGTTGAAACATGTTTTCTGCTGCACTGAATGTTTTTTTTTTCCTCTGGGAAGTCTTGCAGAGCATGGAGTTAAAAATAAAAGGCAGAAGTTTGTGCTTTTCTTTGAAGAGTTTTTAGTGAAGATAAGATCTTCAATCTTTTGTGTCCGCTCCAGTTATAATGAAAAAACATTTTTAAGTAAGATCTTCAAGAACTGTATCTGAATGAAGTACAAGCAGGGTAAACCAAGAGAAGGAGCTTCGGTCTAGAGTTTGGCAGAAATTTGTAACACGTTCCAAGGTAGCGAGTTCAAATGAGTAAAGAGCACTGATGGGTGTTGATACATTTTACCTGTGTCAGGCTGCTGGTTCAACCATCTTTAGGCAAAATGTAAAATAAAAATAGAAGTTTTCCACATTCCAGAATTTTAACTGTTCATTGATTTTTATTTTAAAAAAGATGTTTTACACTAATAAGATACAGCACACAAGGCATCATAAGGCCTAAACTGTTGTGTAGTTCTGCTGTCAATCTCAATCTTAGTAAAACAAGAAGTACTGCTAGCTTTTGTTTTTCCACACTGCTCTCATTCTGTCAGGACTCACTGTGTGTCCTGCAGTGTTTGGTGAACTGGTGCTTTCTGGAGTAAATAGAGTGAACTTCCTAATTGGTCTGAGTCTGTGGCCAGTCCAGTTGTATGTCAGTGATCCAGATTTTAATGCCGAATTAAGCTTGCATTCAATTGTGAAACAATTCTGTTAATGTTAATTTTATTTATGAGCATGTTGAATCTTTTCCAAACGACAGTTGTAGTTGCCAATAGAAAAATAGAAAGCCTTTTCAGGCAGCATAGTGACAAGGATGTAAGATTATTGCAAATTTATAAGACATTCAACAAGGAGCTCTTAAAAGGATATCAAGCCAGTGTTCATTGCTGAAAAGCTACAAATCACTGAACGATACTGTGACACACAAAACATACCAGAAGACATTTCTGGCACAGGTTTATAATTCAGTACTTCACTCATTTTATTTCCTAATTAGGATTGACTTTGTTAAAAAAAGCGAGGAAGTGTTTGATCTCTTTCCGTGTGCCCTGGAGACAGTGGCATCAAGCAAATGTCACTCTTTAACACTTTTTCTCAGGGGGAATTTCAGGTAATCACAACAGACACCTGCAGGGATTTGGACATCAGAACACATATTTGTTTTTTGGTCACCATACTGTATGCCAGAGGCCATGCGGGAATTTTGATTAATGAGCATTACTGCTTAATAGTGCTTTCAGGATTCCTGATCAGGTGCGTGTCACCGGAGATTGGAAGCCTGTGAGAACTAGGGGCGTGCAGGAAAAGCAGTTGTAGCTTGTGATAGAGTAAGAAAGAGGGATTTCTCCCCCCGGTGTGTGCAGTTTAAATTCTGTAATTGTCCCTTGAGAAGGTCCAGCAGGTTCCAACTGAGGAACGTGCTAGAGAGTTTCTAAACTGTGCAGTCCTGGCCTTATTTGGTAAAAGAGGTTTGAGTAGACTGTTCTTTTGGTAATTGTCATTTCCTCTCTGTCAGATCTCATTATGTTATAATCACAGCACTGGGATTTTTTTCCTTCCATTTTTCATATTTAGTTTGTACCTGGCAACTGCAAATGAGCTTTTCTAGGTTTTTTCTGGACAGTTTCTGATAAATTGTAGCTGCTGAGGTAAATCCTGGGTTGCCAGAAACTATGCCCACAGTAAACAAGTGAGCATTTCAGTGTCTTATATTGCTTTACCCTAGCCAAAATAGCCATTCAGAAACCTCGAAGAGCTCAAGAACTGCTGTGACACTCATCAGAAAAGCAGGCTCTACTCTGTATAGGAGGCTCGGTTAATGCTTTCACAGAATAAATGTAAATTAAATGTGACAACATAGTTAATCTGAAAGCTTATTCCTTTAACGTTTTACTCTGGAAGGGTTTCTTTCTTGTCTTGGTTGGAAAGCAGCTGCTGCAGTGAGACTGTCTTCCTAAAGACATTATACCTTTAAAACTGATTAAAGGGCCATTCTAAACTTCTCAGTAATGAGGAACATCTTCTGAAATCATTCCTTGACTGGGGGTGTGTACAGGGCAACAAGTCCACAGATCGTGTGCTGCTGCCATCACAGATAGCAATGATTACCCATGGTTACATCAATATTCATGAGATAGCCACTAATAATAAACCTTTCTCTAGGTGATGTAATGATTGACCAAGTGCAGAGTTTCTGCAGGACGGGTAACCTGAAAACCTAAGCATTCAGGATTGCCACCAATACCGCGAATCAAGTAATCACTCCTATACTGTCCCCCAAAAAACTGTGGGTAGAATAGCATATCGAAATTGAAACAAAGTAGCTGGACTAATAAAGGTTCCTAAAACACCTGATTGAGTGTATCTAAGTTGTACATGTTTATCCACATTATATCACTTGTGGGGTGTTAAAGGCATGCAATAAAGTCAGCATTTTGAATGGCCGCCATTTGTATCAGTTTCTGCAAGGCAACTGTGCTTTCCTAGAGGCCTGTCACTGACTGCCTGTGGAATATTATTCTACTGTAAATGTCCATCAGTTTCCTGTCCTGTTCAGAAGCATCTGCCATTGGATTATTAGGGGGAGAAGATGGCGGTCCATCTTGTCCTGGACAAGTCTGTTTAGAGACAGATATGGCAGTTTAGGAGGTTGTGGAAGAAGAAGAATCTGTAAAAACTGTCCTGCGTTGTGTATGT